TATCCTACGACAACCCCGGTATGTGATCGAGCAATAAGAATATGTTTTGCATGGCTGATGATCCAGTTTTGGAGGAAGTAATCCCTCTCGCTTTCACATACTTTGTCGTCGTATGCCTTCAACTCAGTAAACATGGAGCCTTCGAAGGGGACAATACTGATATCTGGACTCACTTCTGCATCAGGAATTGCCCTCAGTATGACTCCTGCTGGCCCACGTTTTTGGTATACGTCATAGTAGAAAGTGAAGCCATGGGTGTCGTAAAGGCTAACCGAGCCCGCGGAGAGGGTGATGTTGGCCTCCCCGACTGCAGTGAGACCATCACGGTTCACGTCCCGTCCGATTCCTTTGCCTCTGAGGTCTTTCCTTACGATATATAGGCCACCTTCTGCTGTCTCCTCGTTAAAATACGCCAAGGCTCGAAAAGCTAATGAAAAAACAGAATATTGATATATGTATAAACATTTGGGGAATAATCAAGCTAAACCTAACAAACCTTCTCATAATTAAATGAGCCAAGTATAAGATATACAGCAGATGAAGCCAAGTGATGAGTGGATTAAAAGGAGCCAAAGTCTCATAACAGCGAATAGTTCTCAAAACATTGTCCATGAAAACATACTCCGATTACACAGAAGCAAGTAAATATACTGTTTACTTATGACAAATATATACTTAACTTAATCAGGACAGCAATGCACTATCCTCATACACAATTAAGTTTTAACTTAGAGACAAAGCCTATTCAGCAAATGTTAAGAACCAGTATTGGACATAACTATCCAAATATGTTGCACGTCGGATCTGGAGTCACTGTTAATTCGAGTACTATAACATCAGGCCTCGAGACATTTATAATCTGAACAGAAATTTATTGAGATTTGTGTTTCTCATCCTCGATGAGCTCACTCACTAACGTTGCCATCATGACCGAATATTTCCTGGATGTGAAGGAGTATTAAGATGTGTTATATTTTGCAAATACGTCGTATTCATAGCCATGAACCTGCACCTATATGATGACTAGTTAGTAGGCTGTCTACGTCCGGATTGGCAGCATTCGATCTTGTTGTTGAATATTATGTGTTACATTTAGGTACGTGAAACTGAATCATCCTCACACATATACGGCCGACTAGATATGGTTGCACCTGTTGTCAGAGCCCAATGTTCTTACCACTCTCCGAAATTAAGAGACCCGTGAAGATTCCGGGGTAGAAAAGGTCTTCAGCAACCCATGTTTGCCGTAAAAGGTGACTATGCTTGTCGTAAAAGGCGACTTATGGGATCGGGTGGTCAGCCTCGTTGACTTGGTTGATGCATGTCATCGATCCAAATTGCGTGGATCGATGCTCATGATATTAATCACTGGATTGTCTGGACCAGCTGGAATATTGCTGACGGCGGCAGTAAACAACAAACCAACCAACCAACCGAAATTCAGAAACAACTTGTAGCGGCGTTTCAGAAATTATTTACATCCGCACAATAATTTCATGTTGAGGCTAGTGGCTGGACCGTTGATCGCGTTGTGCACTTAGGAATGACTGCTGAATATGTTCCTTTGATTGGCAGCAATTTCATCCCTCTCCCCAAATACATTGACGATAAAACAGGGTGTTCTGAATGTGCAAAACGACAGGGCAACATGTGCTGCTCCGCACCTAGTCTCACACACGTAAATTGCAAAGAGAGAAAATATACCAACCACATGAGTTTAAATTGAATCTAAGTGGAATTTACATGTCTATTCCACTACGTCAAATTTCCAAAATTGAAAACCAGAACATTTCCGTGCAGTGGACAGTGATATGCTACTACCAACACCGTGGGATACTTTGGCAAGGGCAACGACTGATCCTGCAGATGACATATCTTTAACAATTGGGCCAGAACTTCCCACGTTCCATGTCTTGACAGGATGCGACACTGTCGCCTGCATCGCTGGTAGGGGAAAGAAAACAGCGTGGAATACCTGGAATGTGTGACCAAAGGTCACTGCAAACCCAAGCTCATTGCAAACGTTTGCTGCACTAACCAGTCACAATTGACAGATGTTGATACGTCTATGACCACACTGGAGAGCTGCTATGTTCTGATCTATCACGACCTTGAGTAATGTGAAGGAAGCAAGGTGAGGTGAAATTGGGTTTAACGTCGCGTCCAAGATTATTGCACTTATATAGATAACGACGTGCATGCTCGTGTGTGTGTGTGAGTGGCTGCTTGTACTAGTCCAGACAGTTGCTTATTTATAGCTCACTGAGATACCATGACGCAGTTTAACATGAATACCCCACTCAGACACAGTACACTGACGCCGAACCGACCAGTCCTTGTTTTAGCCCCTTAATGCCGAGCGCCAGTACCATATTTTAACATCTATTGGTATGACGCGGCCGGGGATCGAACCCCGGACCTTCCGCTCTCCGGGCGGACGCTCTACCACTAGACCATGGAGGCGGTCTGAAGGAAGCGAGAGTATCTTTGCACACAAAGAAAGAGATGTGGATGACATTCCGCATGTGAGAAGAGCAGCCTACCAGGGTGGGCATTGTTGGTGCCAGGCTCTTAGACCAGTGGTTACATGCCACGACCAGAAGGATGGGGTTGGAGAAGAACCGATCGAGCAACATTGGAAGCCATATGAAGCATGCTCCTCCCACAGACCAGAGAACTGCAATGTGGCTGCATAAAGGGTTGTCGGGAAAAGTGCAAGTGCGTGAAAGCAGCATTAAGCTGTAAATGCATCTTGCAAGTATGATGGATGTTGCTAGTACATATCCGTGTAACCAATACATTACAATAGTAAACTATTTTTCTTGAAATATACTTACAGAAAGACTGTGCTCTATATATAGTGGCGTAAATGTTATATTATTGAAAATAACAACATAATATTTGGTCTTTGGTCTGATCGCTTTTATCATGACAAATTATAATTGACAAAACCTATTACTGGTTACAGGAGACAGAGATGAGCCCTAAAAGAGGGATTAGTATAAACCTCGATTAACAATGTCAGCATTGGACCCCCATTTGCGTTGAAACAGACGAAGCAGCGGCGGTGAATGGGAGCCACCAGATAACTGAAAAAAAGCCAGGGGAATGTTGTTCCAGCACATGCTCTTTAGGGGGTGGTCTGGAGAAACAGCCGGCCATGAGCAGTACGGCCATTTTATGTCTAAAAAAAGTGAGTGAGTGAGTGAGTGAGTGAGTGCTGCATCTTGGCGTTACGTCCCTTCAGTTGCCCAAAGGAAACCTGAACGCCTCTGTGAACAGTATACTGCCCCGGTATTGTCTTCTGCACCTAAGTTGCTGTCAACACCAAGCTAGGTGTGCCTCCCTATGATATCGATGCGAAATTGGGCGTGTCGCTGGACGACGGGCCGGATGTTGTCTTTTGTGTTGTTTAACGCCGCACTCGGACCGGATTTTGTGCTCCCCAACCCGTTACAGTTCTGCCATTAATGTGGCTCTTTAGCATTTATTCCGAAGATGCACCAACCGAATATTAATGTCCTGTTGCCGAGACGCAACACTTGGACGACCGGCCCCTTCTGTAGATTACGTCAATTGAAGAGATGAGCATTTAAATGTCTGTCGTTTTGCGGCAGTCCTGTTTGCAGCATACCCACGGCGCGTGCATGTTGATTTATGAGTACCTCATTGCAAAACAATCAGTTTGTGTTGTTCACCTCAAAAGACGCGCGTGGGAGAATCGGGCTCCCAACAAACATGCAAGCATCCAAATTGTGCGCTGTGCATAAACATGCACGTGCAAATTGTGATTCACGATCACAAAGTCGAGGAGATGTCTTCATCAATATGTATTGAAAGATGCATTAATTAAATTCAGACTAAACGTATTCTAATTTAACTTTATCTTAAGCACAGTTTCTTTTCCCCACTAGTATATGAATATTAAGTAATCTTAACCCTTGTCGTGCGCAGCCGGGCGACTGTGGAGGCAATTTAACGAACTTTCCCAATATGCTAACCCCGCTATTGTTCTACGGTTACGGCTCGGCTAGTCGCCCGCCATACAAATTGATTCGATAATATCAGGAAACATTCCAGCCTTCAGTTGGGTATGTTTCGAGAAAAGCAAGCTGTAGGACAAGAGGTTGTTTGTTTATATGTTGTTTAACGCCGTCCTCAGCAATAGTCCAGCTATATGACGGCGGCTATTAAGTAATCAAGTTTGGGCCAGTCAATTCAGTGATTGACACCAAGAGCATCGATCCACGCAATTGGGATCGATGACATGCATCAACCAAGTCAGCGAGTCTGCCCACCGATCCCGTTAGTCGCCTTTTACGACAAGCATCGTCGCCTTGTACGGCAAGCATGGGTTGCTGAAGACCTATTCTACCCCGGATCTTCACGGACCAGGACAAGAGGTAATTCACTCAATAAGGTTTTAACTTACTTTTAAACACTATTTATAAAACTATATTTACACACCTCTAGCTATCGTTTTCACCACGTTTAGTGGTTAAAGCGTTCGCTCGTCACGCCCGTCACCCGCGTTCGATTCCCGACATGGGTACAATGTGTGAAGCCCATTTCTGGTGTCCCCCGTCGTGATATTGCTGGCCTATTGCTAAAGCGGTGTAAAACCAAACTCACTCACTCATTCACCAACATATCAAGAGACAACCTTCAAGATTGTCGGCCATGTTTCAAGATAACCGTCAATGTCGCCTTATCACCGTGGCACTGTATATAACTTTAACTGTATCGGTGCCAAATTTCATGCTTTTACAACAAAGTGCACGATACCTTAAATACTATGGTATATGTTGCTTGACCGTCAATCAGGTTCAGGGTTTGTCACGTGTGTAAATTTACACAGTTTCCACAACACAGAAATACACACTCGACTCATGCCTACCTGCCCTAGTAATCATGGCCTAGACCGCCGACTTCTCATCATCTATACGTATTGTAAGTATCATTATAAAGATCCCTGAAGTCAGTTGGATTTTGTCACTTACCGATTATTTCGTCAGTTTCCGATTCTGCGACAACCCAAGCCCTTGAATCCATATCAAACACGCAATACAATAAGCCATTTGGAATTTCCCACTCTTCTGCATCAGTCAGGGTTTTAATAGCTCCTATATCAGCTCGAGTTGCCTTTCTCACAGTGTACTTCGGAACAACAGTAGCCATGTCAGTGTTGAAGGGAGATCGGGACTGTGACCTAGCACCACTGAGGGAGATAGGAATGCTATGAGGCTGCGTCAACGTGCCTGCGCTTACAGTGTCGTGCTTGGAAACTAGGCCATCGGATCAAGGTTAATTTTCTCGGACACAGCGAGAGGCTACCGCCGGGGCTGAAATCTTTAATACACATCCACCAAGACGCATTTCCGTTGTACTGAACAATTATTTGTTGCAAATAGCCTAATTTTAAACATAAAAGACATAATTTATTTTGAAGAAGGAAAATATTTGCTCATTATCCATTTGAAATGAACGCGCATACCTTGCCTAAATTCAAAGTGTAATTATTTCTAACCTCATTTTCGAGGCTGACGAGTGACCTCGTGATTAAAGTGTTCACCCGTCAGGCCGAAGGCCCGAATTCGATTCCCAACATGGGTACAATGTATGAAGCCCATTTCTTGTGTCCCCTGCCGTGATATTTCTGGAATATTGTCAAAAGCGGTCCAACTCACTCACTCTAGAGTGTTAATACATTCGTGTTGTTTTGTTGGCTTTCAATATGACTGTGCTGGTGGCTGATCTTCAGCGAGGCTGGCTGTGGGTCTCTTCTCTATTTTAATCCTGGTCTATCAGTCGGGTTTGTATCCGTTTTCGCCTGGATTGTCAATACTGAGAAAAAGTAATAATGTGGAATAATGGTACCTTGTCTTTCTTGATTTGACTTGGGTTTCTTCTCGGAGCATGCACAGGCACGTCCTGAAACTTCCGCCATTTTGAATTCTTGTTAGTTCGACCCCTGTTTCCCCCTTTATTATATATCTAGGTTTGTCAGCACCATACCCGTGCCCACGGGTTTCACTAAAGTGGTAAACGTCTGAGACCTGCATCACTTTTCTCCCACATTAAGCTGACTGGAATACCGACCAAAAGAGACATTACACTCAACTCACTCATTACAATTTACTCGTTTGTTGTTGTTTTTTATCTGGAACTAGCAACACGTTTTCACAATGTCATCCAGTGATGCCAACACTTGCACAATCATGATAGATTCAATGCCACAGGAGGATCATCTTCTGTGCATGATTCCAAATGTGATGGTAGAATTACGAATTTCCTGGGTCAGGAATTATTAAATAAATTATTGATAAACGAAGTCAGTATCAGAAGCTTTCTGTTTAAGGGTAGTGTTCAAACAAAACGGAAACGTTCCCTCAGCACCTTTTGGATGGACAGGCTACAAAACTGTCCGAAAATCAAACGTTGCAAATATTGTCATCTTAGAAACGTATTAAAAGGATAAAATAGTGATGAAAAGAACATACATGAATTCCGACCCGGGGTAGAATAGGTCTTCAGCAACCCATGGTTGCCGTAAAAGGCGACTATGCTTGTCGAAAGTGGCGACTGACGGGATAGCGTAGTCAGGCTCGCTGACTTGGTTTATGTATGTCGATCCCAATTGCGTGGATCGAAGTACATGATGTAAATTGCTGGATTGTTTAGTCAATACTCGATTATTTACAGACCGCCGTCATATAGCTGGAATAGTGTTGTGTGCGACGTTAAACATCAAACAAACAAACATGAATCACTGAACATCAGCGATGACGCCAACGTTAAGCATGGTAAATTGTGAAGGGCATGTTCTGGGCGGCCGGAAGCAGCCACCACTCACACAACCTCTGCTTTCTGCATGATACCCCAGCAGGATTTACGTTATCACTTTAGCTGCTGGTGGTTGTGAACAATACTAGCCAATATTAAAACATACTCAGCAATGAGGCTTAAAAACACTGGTTGATGACAGTCACATCGATTATGATAGGATTATGTGTCACACAGGGGGACAATAATTTTACGATACTTTAACCTCCTGGACAGAGCCTTCAATAAAGTCAGCAGATAATAGCATAACATCAAATTTAAAAACAAGCATTTCATTATTCACATACATATTTAAAATTTATTATACAGATCAATTTCTTTCAAATAGCTGATAATAAGATGACCGCAGACACGGGAAATAGTGAGTGAGTGAGTATGGTTTTACGCCGCTTTTAGCAATATTCCAGCAATATCACGGCGGGGGACACCAGAAATGGGCTTCACACATTGTACCCATGTCGGGAATCGAACCCGGGTCTTCGGCGTGACGAGCGAACGCTTTAACCACCAGGCTACTACACGGGAAATATATATGCTTGAGGGTGAACCTTTCATCACAAGGGAAACACTGAGGAGGTTCGTCCTCATCTGTCTTAAGCAGATATTCGTGTGTAAACCGACTGTGGCCAATACGACATCGTCGTAAAACGACCTCGTCATGTCTTGACTGACAACCCAAGTAGGTATGACCGATTTTTGGTTTTAATTTGTGAAGTTTATTGCTTTCTACTTGGGTGTCCCACCTCTTTTGCATGAGATCCCGAGTATAACTTTTAATTGTTGGTTTGAAATCGCTGTACGGGATAAGTAGTGGAGATAACGGTTTGTCAAGAGCTGCTTTAGCTGCAGCATTGGCTTTTGGGTTACCTATTATGCCTACATGACTTGGCAACCAGCAAAAGACGATGTCGCATTGGCCAGTAGAAAGACCATTGAAAAGTTCTAAAATGTCTAGGATTATGGGATGATTTGAGGAAACACATTTCAGTGCCTGAAGCGCTAAATTGAATTTGGAACCGAACGCGCAGTATGTTGATCTCCATTCTACCATGACTAAACGAAACCCGAAGTCTTTGGTGTATATATTGAGCGAGTTTTTTGAATTGGTTGTCGTTAGGAATTACGCTACCAAAGACAACATCCTTTATACAAACTATTGCGCTGTATATGCTCAAGCAGTTTGTTGACACCACAATACTTCGCCGAACACGGCAACTTGGAAAGCTAACATGAGGTGGGATCCCCTAAGAAATACTAAGCAAGCTTTGCAAAGCTTTCGTTCAACACCGAACGTCAGCGTTATGACGTCATATCGCTCAATGTAACGCAAAAGATATGACGTCACAGTCTGTTGTCCTCCAAAACTTAAAATACCCTTTCTTTGTAGATGTTGACCTTTGCCCGTTACCGTATCTTGATGTGGCAGTTACAGATTTTGAATATGTCTTGCATTTTACATTTTATATATAATTTATTTACATAATTATACACAGTTTTAGTCTTCTTATTTTATTGTTAAGCCTACCTTAAACACTACACTATCAGTCACAGCCCTTTTTCTAAGCATGCTCACATCATAGTTTAAAAAAGTCACACCCTGTGCACTAACGCAGTAGCCTAAGCCCTTTCCCAATTCAAGCCCTTTTGTGTATGTAGAAGATCACGTAATTTAGCAAAATAACATTGGGTAAGGGATAAGATACATCTAATGATTTTTTTATAAGTAAGTTGTATATATCTTGTAGTCAATTACCTCTCTTATTACTCACTTTTTGGCCGTAAATCGTTTCCTTTTTGGTCGTTTTGGGGTGTGTGTTTTCCGACTTGATTGTTCGAGCCGCGTGTTGTTCCGCCACGAGCTTTGATGCGTCGAGCACAATATGGTAGAAACGCCCTGATTGGTCGCGAACAGCGTTGCTTGCCATGGTCGTACGACAGGAGTTTCCTCTGCTCAGATCAAGGGTCAGCCTGGTGGTATATAAGGACCTGGTACTGCATTCAGTGTCCTATCTAATATAACGTGAAAAATAGGTCTAAGAAAGAAATTTGAAAAGTGATAAACAATAAATCTCCCAGGTTCAAGAAACATGAATTTACAATCAAGGGAGACAACTCTTGCAAATTCACAGCTGGCAGGCCCTAGTTTTAGGAAGCGTTCGTAAAATAAACCTAAAAATAAAAATAAAGTCATAGATGAAACCCAAACTTGAGTCACATGGTAAGTGAGTGAGTTTGATTTTACACCGGGTTTGGCAATATTCCAGCAATATCACGGCGGGGGACTCAACAAATGGGCTTCACACATTGTACCCATATCCGGAATCGAACCCGGTCTTCGGTGTGACGAGCGAACGCTATAACCTCTATATGTCTCTCCAAACGCGAAGCCTTTTCTTGAATGGGAGTAGTTGTTTTCTTGCGACCTGGATTCTCTTTGAACAATCTTCTGACACAAAATTGTTGTGTCTCTAAACTTCGTGGTTTTCGGGGATTTCATAGTTAGAATCCTAACTTTCTCTCGGTCGTCAAACCGCAGACAGGCAACGTGGATTGATCTGGGGCGATGAGCCTCGGGATGAGGTGTTCCGTTCGGTGTTCGGTGAGCTTTTTGTATGTCGATATAGCACCTGGCAGCAGTAGAAAATATTTCATGAATCCTTTAATAAAGTCTTCAGGGACTCCGAACAATACCAACTTACACCTACGACTACGGTTCTCGAGATCGTCCAGCTTCAACGTCAGTTCGTCGAGTTTTCCCTGTTGAGTCGTGACACTACTCCAAACATTGTTTACATCATGATTAACTCCCCTGATAGCTTTGAAATCTTGACGAATTTGATCTAGTTCTGAATGAAATGACTCTAGACTCTGCATGATATGTGATTTTCCTTTTAGAAGAGTATTCAATGTCCTTGATACCTTATCGTTTTCATGAGAATCGCCCGAACCTTCGGGGTTTACCTCTAGGTCACTGCCACGGTTTTGGAAGCCATTATTGGTCTCTCGCCGAGCTGACTTCTTAGAACAACTCTCCTGTGGACGTTTTGTAGGTTTAGGCATTGTGTAAAATGAATCTTGGCCTCACAAAACCTCATAAGAAACTGGTTAATTTGTTGATTTGCCGGAAAGCCATCACGTGACCCAGCACCAAGCTCTTACACACATTGCTTTAAACGTACGTGCTTGTTTGTTCCCTGACGCCACAGAGCAGTACACCTGCCATGCGACTGCGGCGTGTTACCAAACCAGACCGATCACCCCACTTGTTAAATAGTCTTGGGGTACCAGTTTTTGTCACACCCATCTTTGTGCATAGATCTAAATACGACGCGTGAGGATGTTTGTCTACAATAAAACGTTTTGAAAACTTTACTTTATACTTGAATGTTGTACCTTGATCAAAGAAGGCTTGTGCAATTATTCGTTTGAGGTGTTCCAAGAAAGAGCACGCTCGATTGTACCTGCGAAGTTGTAAATGTGGACAGCATACCAAAAAACGTTAAAAGATAGTACTTGTTGTTTCCCTGTCTGGCGCTCGGCATTTAGGTGCTTTAGGACTTGTCAGCTTGGAAGTCAGTGTATACGGTATCTCAGTGGGCTAGCACTATAAATCGGACTATAGTACAAGCACACACAAGCACACACACACACACACACACACACACACACACACACACACACACACACACACACACACACACACACACACACACACACACACACACACACACACACACGTGCATACATGTCCTTATATACGTGTAATAATCTTGGACGCGACGTTGAACCCCATTTCACCTGACCTCCAAAACTGTTTCCTAGATTCAAGAACAGTAAACACACACTGAAATCACCTCGTCTGGATTTTAGTAGCTTTTAGTAGCCCTACGAAATAGTTCGGGCACTGGTCATCTGTTCGTACCGAAAAGCAAATATGGTTACATGGAACTTGCTAAGCATTGACACCCTTGGGGAATCTGGTTTGCACTTAGTCCCCTGCAACCTTTCAGGCGACTAAAGGGATGGGATGGTCAGGCTCGTTGACTTTGTTGATTGTTTGTCATCTCTCCGAAAGGCGAGGGACGTTGTGGAACATGGGACAACTTGTGTTTCTTGTATCGTGTGTTTCTTGCCCAAACTCCAGTAAACATATTGCTCGAATAATGTGGCGGGATTGCTCGAATAACAGTACCTGTTCCATTTATTATTTAGGTCAGCTGAATAGGCTGTCCAACATTAGCAAAAACATTAGCAACCTGTCAATACTCCATTATTTGCAGACCACAGTCATATAGCTCGAAGATTGGGGCATCAAACAGTACCAGCTTCGTTAACTGTTTAGATCACAATCTAAACGACTAAATGGATTGGATGGTGAGGCTCGGTGACATTGATAATTGTTTGTCATCCCGTCCAACGATGTGGGACTTTGTTAAAAACATTAGCAACTTGTCAATACCGCATTATTCGCGGGCTGCCTTCATATAGCTGGAAAGTGTTGCGTTAAACATGTCACGTGGAGTCTGCCCTGGATGTGATAAGTCAAAGGCCGACGACAAATACCAGAAATAAATTTGTTTTAACAGTATGTGCTTCATTTATTATTTACATCACAATAAGGCAACACGGGGTCTGGCCAATACTTGCTTGGTCACGGGCCGACGTCAAATAAATGGAACAATGTAGTGTTCAACTGTGCCCGATTCATTTATTATTTAAAGCACAAAAAAGGACTGAGTCTGGACCAGACTTGATAAGTTACGGATGAAAGATTGTAGAATAGGGTGTTCACATTCACACTCCAAGTGTGATGCTGTTCCTGGCCAATTTACCTCTGAAACCTCAACACCCAACATCAGACAGGTGTGTGAAGGAGTAACAAACAAACACACAACCAATTAACCTAACAAAACATTACAAAAAAAAAAAGTGGGGATAGTTTTTTGGAAATAAAATTCAATCGGTCCCCAAACCCGATTCACACCACGTTCAAATGACTATTCATTTAATGTTAATTGCAATATTAATACAAAGGGGCAATCACAGAAACATTACTCGTACACAGTTTTGAGTGGTATGCCTTGATAATCAGAACATGCAGTGGCCAAACCTATTTACATTCAGGAGCTGTTGAGAGCAGTATTCTACATGCAAACTAATGAAATTTATACGTGTCGAACGTAGGGAGAATAATTTCATAGCGTGCAGGTTTCCAGTGCAGTGAACGTTTCACTTTTTACATTGTTATTAAATGTCCATGAGAACCTCAGTTTGTATATCTACGTGTTGTACACCGAACACAAAACACAACCAAACACATGTTAAGGCCCATTTTTTGTTCTAGCCAGGTTTATGAAATGACGCAAATTGTGCTTTCCACTTTAGTGAAAGCCACGAACAGGGCTTGAGTCTGGCGATAGACTTTGACTGAAAAATGGAGATTAATTGTAAGGAAGAACCCACAATACCCGGATATAACACGAGAGGTACAGCTTCCACAAAGATGTTTTATACAAATTAGTCACCCAGTCCCTCTGCAGTGTCTTATTGTCTCCACTAAACAGATACTTAATGTAATATTCATTTTACTTTCGCAGTTAATAAATATCATATATATTGCAATACACTTTGCACGGTAGTCGGCACGGTGGGGGTAGTCAAGTGGTTAAATCGTTGGCCGGTCAAACGAAGGTACCAACATGGGTACAATGTTTGGTGTCCCCATCGTGGTAAGGCACACCCCAACTCGTACCTAAAATGTCATTGTCAAAACTGGTGACATGTTCTGAACGTGGAGAGCAAACTGAATAGAAGCCTTTAGTTTTTTAATACTGCTTCATTAAATGCCATATACTACCTACAACAAATTGCTAATTCACGTTTTGCTTTAAAAAATAAATAATATAGCTCCCATATGTATGTTATCGAGATAACAAACGTTATGGAGTTATGGCCTGACGAGACTCAAACGTGGTGCGAGTTTCTTACTCCACTTATTTGATAAAATACTAAATTGAGCCTGAGAGTAGGAACTTTACTGTGCTAGGTTAGCCGAGGTGTTAGCCGAACTGGGCCAGGCACTGCACGAGGAGTTAACACGACTTTCTCAAATCGTAATTGGGAGATTGGATCATGTCACGCCATATACAGGCATATTTGATGAAGTTATCTCAAACGTTCCTGTTTTTTTACCATGCACCTGGTCGTCTTGTTTGGTTGTTTACACCATCACAGTACACCACCAACATGTTCTGTTGTTTGTCATGTTGCATGTCGTCTATCTCTTTTCTTACTCATAAAGTACCATCATTCGATACCTCTTTGTTTTTTCTGTAATCATCTGTTATTTTCGAATACACACAACTCTTTATCGAGAGTACATTTACGAATTCTGTATTTCAACCTGGCCATGCAATACATTACTCAAACGCTTCCACCAAACAAGCAAGTCTACTGTGCATTTGTATGTGCATGTCTAAAACAGACCAGTGTTATAAACATATCAGGTGACACGTGTATATTTAATTTAATTGCGTCTGTGCAACTGGTTCATAATAGCAACATATTATTAGAGTAGACAATACATTTGTATTAAGTTGCCTTACAGGTTCACGCAACACTCAGTGCAAAGCATGGCGAGCACGGGGGACACTGATGCGGGACTGCCCTTGACGGAATTACATTGCCAAGGAGGAAGCCAAGGAGGTAACAGAAGTGAACCTGCACGACAGAGAGCATCATGGAGCAGACATCTGGACTACATGCTAACAATGGTTGGATACTGTGTTGCATTGGGAAACCTGCTGAGGTTCCCCTATATCTGCAACAGGAACGGCGGAGGTAGGAAACCCGTGTTATCTGCACAATATATGATATCATCTGATAAACGTGGTATCACAATCCAAAAAACATGAGACCACTAACCATAAACTATTTCTGAAAGCATCATTCATGTAAGTGAGGCCTGTTTTCAAGCTTTGCCGTTATGGTGTAAATAAGTATCCTATTTGTTTGTTTTTTAACGGCGCAACCAGTACTATTCGAGCCATGTGTCAATATTGGACTCTGGAACAGACAATCAAGTAATTGACATCATGAGCATCGGTCTATGCAATTGGGATACGATGACATGCAGCAACCAAGTCAGCGAGCCTAAAATGTCATCCTATCCCAATTGCGTGGGTCGATGCTCATGATATCAATTATTGGATTGTATGGCCCAGGCTCGATTATTTACAGACCGCCGTCATACAGCTGGAATATTGAGTGCGGCGTTAAACAACAAACAAACAAACAAACCGATATTTGTGTGTATTTGTAAAATAAACATCTCTGCAAATTGGGACTGTGTGATTAAGGAACAGTTTTCCCGATATTTGGGTGTCAGATAACGGGGCTGAGTTTGGCACGGCGCACGTGGCTCCTAGTGGAAGCAATGAATTCTACTGGTTGAGTTCTACAACTCACATTTGCCATTCTACGCTCATGCGATTTCGCGGGATGTTTGTAGCACGTAATTGATCTAGGAAACGCGACAGCTCCATACTGTCAAAAGTATCAGAAAAGGACATGTTGAAGAAACGGCCACACGTTGTTAATACTTTCCATTTCGTGGTAAAAAAAAACGTAAACAAAAATCTGTAAACTGCAACTGAATAACTTGTCAGCTGCTAGTTATAGAAGCAGGGAGGCTAATGGAAATGGTATGGTGTATAGTCAGATGGCAGTGTAACAGAATACTACATAGTATGCCGCATGATTATGTTTTAACGTATAATTTCAAGGAAAAAGTAGTTACAAAGCATAACGTCAAATTCAGCTATTGAATATTTTCCATACATTTCAGATACTGGACGTGCCCCATTTGCATACATGACCTCGCGGAGTGTGTACTTCTGTGCTTACATTTTCCGTGCTGTACACGCGAGATTTTTCGCGGACAGTTTACATCAGCGTAACACATACTATCTGCATCTGTCAACCGAACCGCTTTTTCAAAATTAAGTAACGCAATAACACCGGCGATAACTTAAGTTAAAATCATTACAAGACGTACCTACTTAGCAAAGGTCAAAGACTAAGAAATACACATACGTTGAAAATAGATACTTGGAATATCACACAGTCGAGTGAATGATAAGTCATCATTTTTCCATTATAATGAAAACACACGCACAGAAATATAACACTTCAATTGAAAGATATCAACACTTGTAGGCTATCCCCAGGCTAAGGTCTCTGGCTGTGTTATAATCCCAACACGACCTTATTGCGTCCGAGAAAAGTGCCTATCAGTTAAGCAGAAGCAGTAAAAGTGTTTTCAAGTAATTTGTATGACACCTCCCATCCTCCAGGAACTCTTCTTAGTATGGAACTAGCCCCAGAATGTATCAGGTTACTATAATCAAACAAGGTTTCCACCCCAGCTTGACCCACACAGCCCACATGGCTCCGGCACAGCATCACATACAGACAAAGGGGATCGAGTGGTGAGGCTCGCTGACTTGGTTCTTCATTTACCAACATGGATTTACAAAATCTGAGCTGCAGCTTCGAGGAGGAATGAATCAGAGTTGTTCAGGAGGATAGATTCTATATCCCAGATTTCACTGATATATATATGAATGTTTAAAGAGCGAATACATTATCTGATGTTCGGAAGCCCTACTAAATCAGTGGTCTTGTAATAGAGCTTTTTTCTTGGGCTCCATTATTGGGCGTCCACATACATGTACAACGCTAATCTGATTAACTTAGATAAACATTATTGCTGATAAGTGATTAAGAAACTATATGTACTTTTAAAACACAATCATCGGGTTGTTAATGCTCACTTGACTATGATGCATTCGCTAACTCTTATTATTGAGGGGCGGTCGGGTAGCCTCGTGGTTAAAGCGTTCGCTCGTCACGCCGAAGACCCGGTTTCGATTCCCGACATGGGTAAAATGTGTGAAGCCCATTTCTGGTGTCCCCCGCCGTGATTTTGCTGGAATATTGCTAAAAGCGGCGTAAAACCATACCCACTCACTCACTCACTTATTATTGAACAAACTAGCGCAGTGCAGAGTTTTAAGAACTGCCAACATGCATGAAGAGATGATCCAGACAGGACCATAATGAGTATAGATCAACTAAACACCCATGGCTATATCATGCAGTACAGCCTTGGAACAACTAAAGAGAGTTGGGAGAGGCTTGCGATTGGGTGACGGGAGCTTGAAGGGACATGGGACAATTTTTCATTAAGAAGTAAGACTTTTGATTTGTTTTACTGCCTGCAATAGATTGCGTCAGGGGACCGGATCAAGGTGATTTATCGTTAACAGTTGTACAAGGCTGAGCAAACGCATCTATTTGACGCTGGAAAACTCGACGCTTTTCTGGAAACTTTCTTGATGCTCACCAATAAATCAATTTTAATCAATGTGTAATTGTTTTCCCATCCGAACCCAATAAAGAAGAAAACCCCGACGTTTTCGCGTTTGCAGTGTCATGAAATATCACGTTTCTCTCATCTCGTGAACATATCTGCTGTTCCCCGTCACTCGAAGAGAGAAACATGGCATTTCACTCGACACATGAAATATCCTCTATTTATTGCACATGAGTACACTTACTTATTTCTTCCAGGTGCTTTTCTGATCCCGTTCTTATTGCTGCTTCTCATTACCGGGTTTCCAACGTTCTTCTTAGAGGCGACCATCTCTCAGTTCTCGGGAAAAGGTGCCAAACAAGTTTGGAGCTTTTGCCCTATGTTCAAAGGTCAGTGAAACTGTTTTTAATAAATATTATTTGGTATTCCATAATGATGATTTAGTACATTCATTCTGAAAAAAGTTGAATGTTTTTAAAAAAAAAGAAATATATATATATATATATCATGACACAAAACGAAGTTACTTCTCTGTAGCAACACCCTTGACTCGGTGAACTCACCATCGTTAACAACATTTTAACTAATAATTAGAATTTTGTTAATATGCCTTGGTTGAATACAACAAGGTCGATTAGGATCTGAGTCTTAAATAACAGAAATGTGATTTGAATTTGATTTACACGACCCCGTCATATAGCTGAAAACATAGCTTTCATTTCATGCTGTCCCTCTTTTGGATTCGATCGTTCGGCCACTGCGTTTATCCGTGTTGCCCAGCCAAATCTATCTGGAACAACTCACTAGACCCTTCCCTCTCAAAAGAACGTCGTCCAATATACGACGTCATTAAGTTGCGAATCTCCAGAAATGGCGTCATGATAGATAAATGTTTTATCGTGAAATAAACCACGCTTCGTTCTCCGTTACTTTTTGCGATTTATCGCGTAGCTATCTTACACATGTGAATATTGTTCTTAAAATCAGGAGTTGGTGTCGGCTCTGTATTGGTTACATGTGCTTACATGCCCTATTACAACCTCTATCTGGCCTGGCCCATCTACTACATGGTGAAGTCCTGCTCCAGCGTCCTGCCCTGGACAACTTGTGGCAACAGCTGGAACACCGACCTGTGTGCGGAAGACTGGAATACTACTTCTAGCAGTAGCATGGCAGCCCTGGGAGGGAATACATCAGATGCAATCACTGCCGAGCTGTGGGAAAATGTGACTTTGGCTCACACACCTGCCGAGGAGTTTTGGCAGTACGATACAACATTGTCTTTGTCAAACATAGCATGGGCAAAACATGTTGTGTTTCCCCTTACAAATATTCATTATGTTCTAGTGTCCAAACACCATATGATGTATCAGCTAGGTTAATATCTATGATGCCATGTTAATAGAAACCTAAAGGCATAAGTACAATGTCTTAATCTGACAGCGTCCGCCCGGAGAGCGGAAGGTCCGGGGTTCGATCCCCGGCCGCGTCATACCAAAATACGTTAAAAGATGGTACTTGTTGTTACCCTGTCTGGCGCTCGACATTAAGGGGCTAAAACAAGGACTGGTCGGCTCGGAGTCAGTATACTGTGTCTGAGTGGGGTATTCATGTTAAACTGCGGCATGGTATCTCAGTGAGCTAGCACTATAAATCGGCATCAGTCCGGACTAGTACAAGCAGCCACACACATACACGTGCATGCACGTCGCTATATAAGTGCAATACTCTTGGACGCGACGTTAAACCCAATTTCACCTTACCTCAACTCTTAATCTGACACATACGCCATGGAACATCCAGATGATGGAGAATAGTCACTCTAAAGTGTGACTACCTGGTATGTGCATTTACCATGTGCAAGTTATGCGTCAGGACAGTAGTATATGTGTAATCCTGTTACCTTGATGCGTCATATTCATCTCTTACAACTCTATATACTTAAGTTGATATATGCCTGTTTTCAATGACAATAACTGTTACTTCATCGTTTTACCATAATAAGAGTCGCACGTTTCGCTCATATCACAGTAAGTGAGTTGGGTTCAACGCAGCTTTTAAGACAATTACAGTTATATCGCGGCGTGTCAGCTTAATGTGGGAGGAAAGACCGAAGTGATGCAGGTCTCAGACGGGATTCGAACCCACAATCATAGATTTCTGGCGTTCCAACGGGACGGGACGCGGCGAATCGCGGCGCCACAGACGACTGGGCCACCCTCGTATGCACAGGAATTATCTATGGACAAATATGCCATTTGATAAAAAAAGATGAAGTATTGGCGACAGTTGTCCAGGTTGTCTTATACCAAGCTCGTATGCACTATACCACCTTCGTATGTTATACCACATAATCTTATTTTAAATTTTTTAAATTTGAGTAAACATTAACAATGCTATGCATTCATATGCTTTGACATCTGTCCATCACATGTGTATTTGTTTGTCTATTATCACTTCACTTTTTATCTCCAAAATGGAAACACTAGTACTTTCAGCAGCAGTAGCTTCTGTCATAGGCGAGAATATTGAACGGCTTGGGAAGCGTGCCATATAAGACTGTGTTGACAATGTGTACGATCTTATGATGGCACTAAGATTTATAAAATGTCTCGAGAACATGATCAAGATCGAGGGATAAATGAGATTTTGTGGATAAACAAGAAAAACTGCCTCAAAATCCCTGTTTCAAGATGCTTTTTAAAACAATATTTAGTCTCACTATCTTAATGTAAAATATCTGGTTTTGACATTCAATTTGCCCTTGAACTATGGCGCTAATCACACACATCTCGAAGTTGCCGCAACTGTTCTTGCTACTTGTGTTAACTAAATACTTAACATGTGTATTTCAGGTACAATGTACTGAGTATCTCTACTGGCTTGGATGACGTGGGCTCTGTACAGTGGCACATAGTTGGATGCCTGTTTGCTTCATATGTAATAATCTTTCTATGTCTAATTCGTGGAATCAAGTCTGCTGGGAAGGTAATTCTCGTTTAAGTAATTCACGTGAATGGTAATATACTCCTGAGAAAATAATGAAAAAAGGACCCCTGAAACTGTTCGATGAAAATTGCTGGAATTTAATCAGCTCAGATAAAATATGTGATCTATAAGCACAGTTTTATGACTATAAGAAACCACTAGCATTTGTCAACAAGGCGATATCAGCACAAAATGTACATCTAGAAACGTTTCAATCAGAGAGGAGATACCATCTTCAACATTTTATTGAGAACGTATACGACATAGAGGATTTAGTTCCTATGTCTGTCCCAGATAGAAAATCTGTCGAGGGATGTCATGTGGCAAGACGAGTGATTAACTCATTTCAATTCAAAACTCATCATCTATCTGTACTGTGGTTCAACAGTCAAAGCGGAGTTCCTAACATTGTGCAATTGAAATAACTATAATTTGAAATGGTTTGATCGCTTTTGTTTCCATGTTATTGTGTAGAAGTATTTGTACTCTGTAACCCGGTATTTCCCTGACGACAGGCTGTGTATGTGACCGCTCTACTGCCGTACATTCTCCTCGTCTCCATCTTCATCACAACTCTCCTGCAACCCGGTGCTCTAGATGGCCTACGCTACTACGTCATACCGGACTTCAACAAACTGCTTGATACGCAGGTGCGTTATAAGCCACTTCATGAAGACTTTTTGACATAGGTGTCGATGATCTCGCCACTTCAGAATTGTCAATTAGAAGGACAACACTAGAGCTAGAGCCTTCAAAATTATTCAACTGAAAGTATTATTTATGTAGTCAGAAGTTTTAATGTGACTTGCAAATGGCATTTCTTTTCAACTCTTCTAAATCACACAACAAATCCTGAGATAAGGACATGTTTAAAATATTAGCCTTTCAGGAAGTGTATTCCAAAATATTTACACGAGCCAGCCTTTGAGCTAAACTAATCTTGTGGAAAGATGTAGACAAGAAACGGGAGACGTTTATTTGTGTAACAGGCGTTCTCCTGTCTATATTTCCTTTAGAGTGAGTGAGTATGGTTTTATACCGCTTTTAGCAATATTCCAGCAATATCACGGCGGGGGACACCAGAAATGGGCTTCACACATTGTACCCATGTCGGGAATATAGCCCGGGTCTTCGGCGTGACGAACGAACGCTTTAACCACTAGGCTACCCGACCGCCTCTTATTTCCTTTAGAAGTTGGCAACATCAACCCTTTTGATATAGCCATACTTTTGTACCTTACTTAAATAAGTTAAAGCTGACAATGACAAGCACAGTGAGTGAGTGGATGTCATGGAAACAAGTGCCTTGATTGCATTCATTGTAAAATATAGAAGAGTTATTATTATCTTCTTCTCATTCCAACATCAGTAGTCACAGCATTGTTGTCGAAGTGAATATCTTAGAAGTGTCTTTCTTGTCACCTGGACATACTTTGTAAGAAACTACTTTTTATGTTTATAACCTCCCACATAAGTAATCAGTGTAATGGGTCATTAATATAGAAGATTTAAGGCCAGATGATACTGACTGACTATATACTGGGCAACAGCATGATCATGTCCTGATGCCTCTAAACCAACAATAAAACAAAATAAATAACGAAATTGTTATCCATAAATTATCTCTTTTTTTGTCAACCGTCAACTTCCAAGTAATGCCTATCAAACAATTCAACAATACAACATATGAAACACGGGTATTTTGGTGATATGATGAACATGATCCATGAATACATGATATATGAATGTAAGCTTAAGTTCATTTGAAGCCAGGATACCCTTTAAATATCCAAGGGTTCAAGAGTCACATGTAAATTGCTCCAGCACAATGCGGAAAACTATTTTTACTGTAACCTTTTTTTTATCAGGAAGTTTAAAGATCACTTTTGATTCAGGAAAAACTGTCAACACAGATTCATTAATACAGGTGTGGCTCGAAGCATGTTTGCAAGTATTCTATTCATTGGGACCTGGCTTTGGAATGATTGGCACTGCTGCGAGCTACAAAAACTTCCATGAACCATGTCTCAGGTGAGTAGCAAACATATTGGTGCAATTGCATTTCAAAGTAAAGCTATGATACCACAAAGGCCAACGTCACGTAACACAATTGCTTGTGACACGACGAACAAAATCTCAAGGACAGAGAAGCCTAGAAATCTAAATGTAAATTTACAAATTACCTGAATCAATGTATAAAAATACATAATTATGAACTTGGATTTGTGAAGATATCTGTGTTTATATTAACAGAGATTGTCTCATATTGACAATAATCTCAGAAGGAACCAGTATCTTCTCTGGCCTGGTGACGTTTGCTACACTCGGGGTCATGTCCAAGAAAACGGGTGTTCCCATTGAAACTGTTGTTTCAAATGGTATGTTATTTGTGTTTCGATTTTATCATAGCAACGTTTAATTGACAGTAAACATTTTACAAATATTGCCACAAAGAAGTCCCCCTAGCCCACATAATAAGACATTCAACGTCGCAACATGACAAGTAAAGCAAAGCATAAACATTTTGAAGGCGTTCAGTTTACATGCCAACACTAAGGAAGTATTCATTGTGAATTTAAAACAGCAAGCGTAAAAAATGACTGAAACATATTTATAAGATGCCATGCCCGAAAAAAATAGATTATTATTCTCCTCTGGAACGGCTAGATGGATTAATCTATGACATGACACGCATGTAACTTCTCATGCATGATGCATTACCCCTTAATGCATTAACTACTTGTTCTTGACAAAGAAGAGCTTTGTGAGGTCTTGCTGAAGAAGAAGTTGTTCCAACTGGTTGTGTGGCTAATCTCATCACACAGCTCCACAGGTTCAGGAAGGACCAGTTCCCAATCCATGCTTAGGAGATGGCGCATACATGTGGAATGACCTCGCAGACTGAAATCTCCTTTGGCTACATGCTCTCATTCTAAAGGCTTATGAAACCTCTTGATTGGATCCCCCAGGACCAACAACCCTGACGAGACCAGAGCGGTTGCTGGACTGGCGATTGGCTTCATATATCAGAGGTCCAACGTTTTTACCAAGCCCTTTGCAGCGCCTGGCCTCATGGTGAGGGTTCTGTGAAAGTTGCCGCCAATTCTTCTGTCTAAACAACGTTGGTTGAATGATTGCACGGAGAGGGCCATAGTACTTTCGGAGAATTTCTTTCCTAGGGCTTCTGATAGACATGATCTACACCAAAAGTTGAAGATCATCACTAATTCACGATTAATTTGACATTTGTCAGAATCGTCATTTGCTACCCGGGCGACCACCACAGGATCATCGTTCACAAGACAGGACCAGACGCCTCACATGGTGATCACCTTGCCCCTACACCAGCCACGTCACAAATTCTACACAGAACTCAGAAACACCCCTTGTCTGTCAACCGCACAGTTCACAGAGAATTGTCTGTGCGTGGAGTTTGGACCCCGTCTCCAACAAAATGTGGGATTCCAGATTACTGTGCAGCATGATTTACAGGTCAAGAACTCTCTGACTGAAAACAAACATCTCCGACAGGAATTAGGTCAACTGACCTAATCGGAGCCATGTGTACATGTACAGATTGCAACCAGTCGATCAGACTGAGTCACTTACTTGTCACGATGCCAACACACACAGTACCGAGGCACCAGCTTCATCGTGACCTTGATATAAGAACGGGATCACTTATACGACGCCCCTAGAATGGCAACGATCACGTTACTTCATACGGTAGCATGTGTCAGACCAAGGAATTATATATACTAGTATTCAGCCGTATCTACCAGATACAGTGTCAATTTTATGATTCTTCATATAACCTTTCTGATGACTACATGCGGAGAAACGAGGCACCTGCCTTCATTGTCACCTTGATAGAAGAACGGGAGTGCTAATATGACACTCAGGGGATGGGAACGATCACCTTACTTCAGACAGTTTATCTACTGGATACAGCTTGGTCTCCCACTAAGCTTTATGTTGAGGGGCGGTTTTATTTCGTCTACATGCGATTTGGCGTTTTTTAACTGACTAATACACTTTTCCATGTATCGTTCAAGCACAACTCGATCAGAGAATCTCTTGAGATTGACTTTTTCAACTTTACATTCTTATGGACAGCAGAATAAAACATCTTCTACCTGCTCTTCAACAGCAACTTACACTATGTCAGTGGCAAGTGCTCTTGGGATTGCTAACGTTAGCCTAGGATGTGACGAGCTGAGGTTGACCCGATCCAACAGTTCCTGGTGCCTTACATAAGAGGTCAGGACCCTTGGCCTAACAGTTGCTCTACACCTTCTCCTCAGGTGGGTCGAACATCTTAGGAAGTTTCTCCTTTACAGTTAGTTGTCTCCGACGTCCCACCTATTTGTAGACGCCTCTACAGGTTAAGTTGCACATCTAATGGACCAGGCGACTTCAGGGTTGTGGTCCGGCGCTCATCGCACTTAGCACATCAACTATGTATAGGATATAAATCCCCCTCAACGGGCTATCCGTGAAAATAATGCAGTCCGGCAAAGGAAGTGCGCTGGAGTGCATTATTTTCACAGATAGCTACAGGAGAAGGTTTATACCTGACTTATAAGCCGTGCGGACGTACAAGCGTACATCTGATCAACAGAAGTCGGCAGTGTCTGCAATTATCTGTGGTGCCGATCCAAAACGGAGATGCGAGACTATTTCTGTCAAGTCGGAAAAACTGACGCCTAGACAGTCACCAGTAACTCCAGATGAGCCAACCAGAAGTGGACGTCCTATTGTTTTCAATGTCCACATCGCGTAGACCTCTGTAAACATTTCATGAAATAAACGTTGATGAAAAAGCTTTATTTTTTTTCAAAAGGCCAGAGGGATCTTCTGTAGAAAATCCCGTGGGCAGAGGGATTTTCGGAAAAAAGAACAA